GCGCCGCAACAGGCTGCGGCACCGCCTCAAACAACGCGGGCAGGCTGGGTTAATCATTCGACCCCAATGGCGTGGCTCTGACGTAGTGCTCCTTCCAAGGCCGGCACACGGCCGCGGCGTGCACAGGGCAGGGGATGCTGCGGCTCCCTTGTCACTGCGGCAGCAGCAGCACACACACCTGGTTGAGGCGGCCGGGGATGGCGTCGATCTTGACGCCCAGGGACGGCACCGCCCAGGAGTGGATGACATCACTTGACGTCACCAGCACGCGGATCAGGCTGGCGGTGGAGGGTGGGGCGACGAGTGCGGCAAGGGACCAAATGAACAATTGCATCCTCTCTCTCTCTCGCGCGCTCTCTCTCTCCCACACACACATACATGCCCATGCCCGATCATGCGCACACACACATATACACACAAGCATTCACACACACGCTCAGGTCTGTGTAGCAAAAGCCACCCAGTCCCAGCTCCCAGCGGCCCCACCTGTTGGTGGGCAGCACCAGGCGCTCGTCCACATCCAGCAGGCGCAGCTGCCCGGGCTCGGGGTCTGCCAGGAACAACAGTGTGAGGGCAGCACCGAGCGATGGCGCGTCATGCCAATTGATAACGGGAGGATGCCCGCAAACGACGCGACAACGCCATTTCAGGGCTGTGGCTTGCGCTCTACGGCCAGCAAAGGCAGTCCCGTCCCACCGAACACAGCACCCAGGAGGCGGGCTGCACTGGCCGACGGCGGGCGGCGTTGTGCATGTATCCCCAACCTGTGAGCATGTAGGAGTCGAAGTTGTACTCGGCGGTCTTCAGGCCCTCGCCGGCCGCCTTCTCCAGGAGCGCAGTCTTCACGCGCTCACGCAGCTCGGCCCTGCATGCGGCGCGGGCCAGAGGGGCGTGCGCACGTGTTCTTGAGTGGCAAGGCGGGCACGCCAGGCTGGCAGAGGCGCGCTGCCGGCTGCGAAATTGGATTTGGGAGGTCCAGCGAGCACAGCCGGGGGAAGGGAGGTGGGCTGGAGGGGTGCTGCTTGGGAATGTAAGCTGCGCCTGCTGCGCACGGCGGCACCTCAGTGTGCCACTCCCTCCTGCCGCAGCCGTTGCCGCTGCTGCAGCTGCAGTCCCGTTGCTGCTGCCGCTTAGTGTTTGCCTCTGCTGACGTTGTTGCTGCTGGTACGCCTGTGCTGCTGATGCCGTTGATGTTGTCACCCGCTTTTGCTGCTGTTGCTGCTGCTGCCGCAGCTGTCGCTGTGCATGACCTGCTGCTTGTCCCGCTGTCCGCTACTGAGCTGTTATGGCCGGCACTCCCTGCAGCTGCCTGAATCCAATGCAAGAGCTGAATCTGATTCAAGATCCGACCATAAAGCGTGGTCACGGCCGCCATAACCGCTGGATCCGCGAGCTGCCCAAGACGCCTTCAGCACCTATGCTCCAGCCGCGCTCTGCTGGCATGACTTGGGTGCCTGCCGGCCCCTCACGGACCGCCCACGCTCCCCATGCACGGCTGACCTCCAGCAGCTGCTGCCGGACGACACGACCGCACTGCAGCCGCGCTGCCGCTCGCCTAGAGGCCGCTTGCGGAACCGTGGCTGTCCCAGCGCTGCTGCCGCTGCCGCTGCCGCTGCCGCGCGGTCGCCCCGGCGCAACCGCCCCCAATCACCTGAACTTGGGGTCAGCCCTGAGCTTGGCCTTCAGGGCCTCCTTGGCCTGCCAGAACGGGGTAACGCCGCGCTCGCGTGACAAGACGCAAAGTACTCGGCTCGAGCCCGCTTGTATAACATGCACGCGGCGCACATGTCAACTGCTGCGCGGTAGGCGTCAATGCCACAAGCACAGCAGCAGCCAGCCTGTGCAGCACGGCCTGCGCTGCTCAGAACCCGTAATTTCAGCGGTGCTCCCATCAAGCTTGAGTCAGAGATGTGACACCACAGGGCGGCGTTGAGCCCGCTTTGCAGCAACGCAGTCGCGCGTCGGTGCCACGCGCGCTGCGGTTGCGTGCAGAAACCCCGCGCGCGGCTGTGGCCCTGCTACTGTTGTTATGCACTCACCGAGTCAGCCATATTGAAGCGCCTGACAAGGACGGAGGGAGGCTTCCTGCACGGTGCAGCACGGCGACGATGCCGAAGAGATCGCTGCAGGCACTGGCAAGGCCCAAACAGGGTTTGCTGGTTCCGCACAGATTCACAGCAAAATCAAGGCAACTGCAAACTACTGTAGGTCCAAAAGTCCCTGCAAGCCGCGTGTCAACTTGTGCGCTCGCCAAATACTGCGTGCCCGCAGCAACCGCAGACTGGCCGCTGTCAGCACATGCGCTAAAATCCACTCACAAACAAGCGCTGTCGACGCTGCCGCGACGAGCTCCACCAGATCACTTGTGCGATGCGACAACGCAGCGCCGTGCAATGTGCCAGCAATATCCTCCTGTGTAGTTGAGGAAGAACAGTGCCGTTCACAATATGGTGACGAAACACGTTGGGTCCGCTGTTCTGCCGGTCCAAAGGAACGACGACTCTCTCCGAGACGCGTTTGCGCCAGCACAAGCGCAGCACCATGTAGATGTTGTGCACTCAAAACTTGTTGGACTATGAGAACTGAAGTGCCAGCCACTCTCCGCCTCGGTCCCTCTGGGCCTCACCAGCCACCCCATGGGACCGCCACTGGGGCGCATGGGTTGCGCCCGGATTGCCGCACAGGCAGGAGACACCAACACCACCGCGTGCGCCGACATGCTTTGGGGCTATGAACCTCATAAATCAAGCACATATAGGGCCGCTTGCATCAGGTCACAGGCATGTGCTCACTGAGCAATTGGTCAATTCATTGGTGTTGAGAAATAGTTGACGCAAAGTTACTTGAGGAAAGAAGTATAAGATATTTGTGGGATGTTGCAGTGCAACAAATGCACGGTTTTTGTATCAGCCAGGAGTTGTTCAATCAGGTATGCAGGTCTAAATCCTGCAAGCTTTCGTCAGAGCCCAGCCTTCTTCCCCAAAGCGGCATCCTTGATCGCCCCCGCTGCCGCAGGCGCCACAGGGCTGCCTCAAGGCGACGCCACGCGCGCGGCCACTGCTACAGCATCCTCCTGGAGCCTCACAACCTCATCTGCCACAAAATGCTCCAGCCCCAGTAGCATCTGCCCGTGGTGGCGGCTCGGGAACACTGTGTGCGCGCCGCGAGCTGCTAGCAGCACATGCATGTTGTGCTCTGCGGCCGACCAGTCACGCATCTGGGCGTCGTAGAACGCCTCCCCCACAGCGCCCATCATCGTGTAAACTCGCGCAGTGATCGCGCGCACGGCCAGCCGCCGCCACGCGGCCGGCAGCGGCG